CGCTAGACTGAATGTACGCAAAGCATCGGATCCTGTCTTCGATGCTTGGAAGGGCGCGGCACAGTGGGCTTCTGGTGGTGATTTAGGCCGATCTTCGGTCACGCGGCAAGAGTATCTGGAGAAGGGCAGCGAATACATCAAGGAGCATGAACTTGGTAATGCTACATGGTGAGGGTAAAAAAGCGAGTTCCGAAAACACCGCTTGGGCGCACTGGAGTCGAATGGTTCTGCTTATCCGGCGTGGTATAAGGCATGTTTATTTAATACGTGAAAAGATGTTATTGTTGAGTCCGGTAGTAAGCGAAATATGACATGTTCAGCCCTTCGTATGAATAACTACAACTATGTTAATAGACCCTGTCTTGCCTTCAATGGGCAACCAATCTTACATTATCTTATATACTTCTCTCGTATAGCTAGGCTCATTTCACAATCCTCTCAGCCCTCCTCTTCCCCGGTGTTTTCTCTCTTTTTCCTTGTCCAATAAGAACGATGGCCAAAGCAGAAACCCCTGGGGTGATAGGCACAACAAATCACGCCAGAACAAGCCCAGGCTCTGGATGTGGTTAAGGGAATGAAACAAAAACTACGCAAGCTGCTGTAGACTACATTATCATGTTGGCTCTATTCTAGGAGGATTTCCCTAGAAGAAGGTTCAAGCCCTGATTCAAGATAACGGGAGAGAGCAATAGTGACATGTTTAGCATATCGGCAGCCGTCACTATATCAAATAAACATAAGCTGGCTATATACGTTTGCATTCCCCAGAGTAAGACACGCTCTTTGCTTCTATCAGTAAGCCATGTTTAAAGTTGGGAGGTCTGAGACATCTCCATGCATTGTCTCTAGAGTAATACACGTTATGCCTGTTTAGAGTCGATGGCAAATGTAGCCAACATAAACCAAGTCCGATGGCTTACACCTCCATTGACCAATAATAACAGCAAAATCTCTGCTCTTTCCTTCTCGGCTGTGTCGGATCATTTTTGTAGACAAGTCCATCTACAACATGATCAGTCGAGGACAACAATGTTGTACGGACAAATATTATCTATTACACTGGTTGCACAACGCTTTGGTGTGGCCATCACTGGCATTTCTTACCATTTCCAACCATTACTAAACAGTAAAACTAATTGTGTCTTGAATATCGTAAAGCTCGCTGATCGAAGTCCGAGTGAGCAAAAGGGATGCCACTATCCCTAGATAAGGCCGAGCCCATCGAACAAAGCTTTAATAAGACTGAAGTCACTGTCGATCATGACTCATATAGGGAGAACCCCACTATGGGGTGATGCTGCAGAGGTCTTGTTATTGTCGGCGGTTATGCACCGGTGGTGCAATATACCCCATCATCGCTCTGATTGGCACTTGGTAACTATCACATCACGAGGTTAACCAGACGTTGGATTATCTTCCGCAAGCTGCCGACTGGGTTTTTCGTTTGTTTGACGTTGTTCATTTTTTCAAGTAAACCTTAGAATCGATTTTAGCTGTCTCCTTGCGTACTAGAACATGGTATTGTCAATCATCCATTAGAAGTTAAACTTATTGTACGATATAGTATGAATAGCTACACAACTTAAAAAGTAAACAACAATGTCCAATTGCAAACGGTGCCAAATTGGGATCTGGCCCAGACATGGTTGGTTAGTTCTGACTTCATGCAGAGGCCATCATGACGCACCTGGAGAATTCTTGATTTTCATCCTGACTAGCCCTGACCCTAGTGACGGATGTTGCATTATACTTGGCGTCAGTCTTGTTTGTTTGGCTGGTTAATGGTAGTTCGATGGAACCAATGATATTGGGATGATCGTTTTCAAGATATAAAATCCTGCTCCCTGCTCCTCTGCCATGGAAGTTGATTCTTTGTTTCTTAATACCTATAGTTCCTCCAGTTATCTAGCTCTCAATTATCTCATAGGCGTGTCATACTCGGCCTTGTTGAACCCCTTTCACGCTTTGTATACTTGGTTCTTCTACACAAAATGGTCTTCTTCTCAACAACCCTTGCCCGTCCACTGCAACTGGCCACTCGTGCCATACAGTGGAGTAGCGCCGTCATTGTCATGGGCCTGACCTCGTTCTTCATCAACCGCGGTCCCCGTAGCCAGCATACCATCTACCAGGAGGTCATTGTATGTTATTGGAGCTTATTCCATTAACCCATCATCGAGCCATATTCTAATCGCAAGCTTAGGCTGTCCTCTCAGTCGTCTTCTTCATCCCGGCTTTCATTTCGCCATTCTTGCCCTCGTCGTTGGGCAGATTCGTGCTCGCAATCGACGTCGTCTTCTCCTACCTGTATGTTTACTTTCAACCATATTGTCTACATTGAAGTCTCTAATATCCATTCTAGCTGGTTGACTGCCTTTATTTTCTCTGCACAAGACTACAGCACGAGACGGTGCTACTTCGCTATCCCCGCAGGCCTAAATTGCAAGCGCAAGAGGGCCAATGAGGCTTTCATCTTCCTAGCTTTGTATGTCGCCTGTATTCTCGTAACTGCTGGAAACTGCTGAAAACTAAAATCATCGCAGCATCTTCACCTTCTTCGGTATGTTCCTTGAAGTCGCCGCTCTCTGGGCCTATCGCAGGGAAAACACCACTGTCCAACGCACCGAGGAGGATAAAGTCAATGCTGGGACTCGTCCGCCTCTTGATGCGCCTGCAGCTCCTGCTGGAACTGTCTGATTGGTGTTTCTGATACCTCCCTGGACAATTGTACATCTACTATCTCTTGGCGTGGCCAATGGTTGTGGATATATCATTTACTGGGATGTTCAGGGAACCACTCTGGACTTTTGTTTTATTTGCGTATTCTTCTCTTTGATTTTATCTTGATGAACTTGAACTTTGGCAGCGGCTGGATTGAACATACGTTACTATAAGCCGGGATGGGAGCAGGACGAAGTTGACATCTGATGGACAGTACTGCGTACATCCATCGCAGACTTGGGGATACCTTTTTCAACGTGCTCTTTTCTCTTAACAACTTAATCCATTAATTACTCCATACTGTGGTCGAAACCTTGGGGTGTTCGATATGGTAATACCTTCCAATCTTCAATTAACATGTACAAGCTCCATGGGTGGCATGGCTTCATATATCACTCTACGTAGCATAGTTCCTCTGCCGGGTGGAACTTTCCTATCTTAGCTGCTGCCGCCTTTACGAGGCGCTCATTGTCAGGCTCACCGGAGTAAATTTCGGTCCGGGCTCAAGACTTGCTATTAAGATAGCGAGGGCTATCTTTACTTTAGTAGTAGTATTCGCTCTTAACCTAATACTCAGACTTAGTGAGTGTGCTCCCGAGAGGTTTGTAGGGTGTACATACTCTATCGGTTTATTCCGTATTGTAAAGCAGAAAGTCCAATCAATAGGCTCTGTATTTTTATATCGGCTCCCCATCGCCCATCATTATGTAAAATCAATGTGAGGGTTACCCTATTAGGCAATTTTATGTGCACAATTAGTCTTGACAGTGCCCCCTTTGCCAAGAGTGCCCACGAATGTCTTGGCGACGCTAAAGATGTCTCCACTTTAATGGGCATTGTCGCATAGATATCGATGACTAACTATATTATGCACTTTTGTATGCTTGGTACCAAGTGTCATTTGATTTTCTGGGTAAAATACCCTACCTCTACCATATAATTGACTTGGTTTTCGATAGATAACTTTAAAGTGGAACTTAGCGGAACCCACCTGCCCCGAAAAAAAGATGACAACCTAATCCAACCCGGGGACCGGTAGAGACCACCTTTGCTGAATTGGAGACATCCTCACGAGTTTGATCTTTGGAGACGCCAGAGGCATACACCATACCCTCTGCCTATTCCTTCCAGCTACTCTTAGAAACCTTTCGATTCGTGTTGCCAAGTTCTGGCATTTCAGCCATCAGCGTAGGATATTAATTTAGCAGAGTGTGTTCAATCCTCACAGCTAGGCTCTGCCAAGTTCTTGAGCAATAAACTCTCTTTTGGGGGCGGGTTCTTGTAGAGTCCATACCTCGGTTGGAGACCATACCCAGTCCTGTGCCCATAGAGCAGACAGAATCCACTAGGCAAACGCATTTATGCACCTCCTACAATCGCGGTTTCCGGAAATTGGAGCATTTACGACGCCACACGAGAATCCGTTTGTTTCACCCTTTCTCGTTAAATCCACGATGTAATGAAACTGACTTCCTGCACAGCACTCCAGACACTAAAGAGAAGCCATACGTATGTCATTGTGGGGCCACCTTTAGCAGGCGAGACTTGCTCCAGCGTCACAATAGTATTGTTCATGAGCCCACCACTATAAACAGTGATATACCTAGTTCATCGGGCAACCCTAGTCACGCTCTTGTTATAAATGCCAACCCTTCCAAGTCAGCGATATTAAACGAAAAAGAATCGACATGTAGGCCTGGTAGGGCCTTACCGGAACATTTTTTACCATATCCTTCCGAATGCCACGGTCTTGGTAAGTATCCTACTATCAGATTCAAAGATGTCACATAGTTGGGTCAAGCCACAGACCCGCGTCTGGCCATATACCGAGTTATCTTAGAGATCAAGTAGAACTACTGCAAAAGGCATTGTTGGCATTCCTGTAAAAATGGCTGTTTTGTCTTCAAGGCCTTTTACTATAGGACGCGAAGTATCAATCCCCTGCACCCGTGGACAGAAGAGCTCTGTATTTCACGAATTTGTTATTACACACTGGTTGAACATCAACACCTACATCAAGGAACTTACTATATGTAATAGGTATAGTCAAGAGTCGAGCATTTGAGGAATAGTGTATGTATATACATCAGTGAGTGTACTTCTAAGGTTATATCAACTTGAATTACGCGTGTAGCGTTAATCTTGACGTTGAATTTCCTTGGCGCATAGTTTAGCCTTTCCAAGTGAAGCAACGGTGCGAAAGAGTATGTGTAAAGGTACAAAATATGACACCAGTATATTCCAAATATGCGTCCAGCACGGCATTTTGCCTGGGCGTTTCACACACTGTTCTTGCTCCTAATTCGACCCACAATGGTTATCCCATCGTTTATGCTTGGTAGTTGATCAACGGGAACTGCATCAATTTCCTCATTATCGAACAAGCGCTCGATTTCTTCCAAAGTCCGGCCGTTTGTTTCGGGAAGGTAGAACCAGATGACCCCCGCGCAGGCAATCGGCATAAAAATGAAGACTGTAATGCTCCCTGTTAGTTTACTAATATCACGTATCAGATTCATTTGTGGCTGACCAAGGTAGTACCTCCAGCCAACAGACCCGAAAGCCACTGAGGCAGAGCCAGTATAAATAAGAGTCGCGGTGAATAGACCCGTCACCGAAATTGCTAGTCCTGGGGCTCTCAGCCATGTAGGGAAGATCTCAGAGCTATAAACGCTAAGAAAGAAAATCAAGTTAACACCCCCCAAAAAAAGAAGTTTGGGGTTTCATTCTAGGATTTTCTCACTAGCAAGCTACAGAAAAGCGAAAAAGGTGATCAGTAAAAGCCTGGGGACCACGATTCCGAAGGGCATGAGGTAAAAACTTACAGGCGTCCATCCCACCGGCAAACAACGTGATGAAAAGAAACAAGAAGAACACTCCGAACCCGTTGCCGATAGCATTGTTGGACCCGGCAAATGTAGCGACCATAGCCGCTTCTCCTGAAATCGCCACGGCGGCACCGACCTAAACAGGTCAAATTTAGTTTCACAGCCTTTACAACACCGAAGGGAGTATATGGCCATTTTCTCACCAGTCCAAAAGTCATCAGCTTAATGCGCCCGAACCGATCTAACAACATCGCATTGACCCAGTTCATAAAAGCTGCCCAACTAGTGTAAACACTAAGTAGTAGTAGTGACTTCCAGCCGGTAATTCCTAAGCCTTCGTACAGAGTAATTTGGTAATTGTTGACGACCTTTTTTTAGTGTCAGTTTTCATTGATCTTTTAGCCATTTTGAAAAAAACCAACCAAGACACCACTAGATTGAGCGGCGAAGACAACGAAAAATCCAATCGCCAGGCGACGCATGATTGATTTGTTAGTCAATACTGACTTCCAAGTGAGAGCCTTCGCACGATCCAGCTCGACTCGAGTGCAAATAGTTTGATACTCTTGCTCAGCCAATGTACCCGCGGGGTCGTCATCACTCTTATGCAGCTTGCGGAGCGTTTCGCGACCTTCATCGAAACGCCCGTACAAAACTAGCCATCTGGGAGATTCAGGGATCCAAGGTGATCCAAACAGGAGGATAAGAGGTGCAACAGCCTGCAAGGCAACGCATAGCCTCCACTGAATATCGGGATTTGGTGCAAAATAACATCCTAGTCCAACCCAGCTCGCACCAGCCTTCGCAGAAGAAAAGGTCACTCAAGTCATTAGGGATATTGGAATAACCAAGATGACTTACATATCCGGAGACAAGGAGAAAAGCATGGAAGCCAACAAGCTTGCCTCGAGAATTCGCTGGAGAGACCTCGGAGTGGTATAATGGACACACGGCATCGATCATTCCAGCACTAAACATAATTAGAGAACTTATTTGTTGCAACAAAGGGAGTTATGTCAAAGCATACGAGAACCCCTGGAAAGCCCTTCCGAAAAGGAACATTCCCATATTCATCGATACAGCGCTGATTATCGTCGCAGCCAGTGAAATGACACAGATTATCTGAATCGACATTCTTCGCCCCACTTGGTTAGCCAGCCAGCCAAGCAACAGCGCACCGATTAAACCACCGGCGGCGAATAGACTGTTCATTGCTTGTTAAATCAAGTTAGCCATAGTGACAGCAACACCCTGTACAAGGTATACAACACTAACCTCCGACCATCTGTGTAGTATAATCGGCCCGTGGGCCAGTGGATGAAAGATTGAAGTATGCATAGAAAGACGGTAAAGCCGTGAAAGATGCCACGATGGAAGAGTTGAAGCCATAGGTGAACGAGCCTAGGGCAACAAACAGCACCACAATTAGGTTGTAGGAGTTTATCCGTCCCATGATCTTTCACGCGTGATCCTTAAGAAAATGGTGTTGAAATAGCTAATAAACATTCTGGGGACTTGGGGGTAACCTTTCCAAGGCCTGGGGTTATATATGACTTGGTTTCTGGGGACTCTTCGAGGAGGGCAGGATATGTGAATATGACCCTAGTTCTATCGCCACTTAGAGATTAGAATATTTGTATTTCTACTGCGTAATCTTGTCTTATCTAATTTAAGTGATCGTGAACTTATCAGCAAGAGTATGTAATAATGGTCTCACCTCTCAGTCCGTGGACGTTATCTAGGATTTGGGTTGACCCAACGGTGGGTTTGCCAAACTGAACGATAATGAAACAGATCCGGGGCTCCAGAGTAAACCAGGAGTGATAAGTATGGTTTTTTTTTTTCAAATGTTGGTACCGCCCTATATATCTTTTATATCATCCAACATTGTCCGCTGTTACCTAGATAATTCTGCGTATGTGCAGTGCAGTTCACTCTACATAAAGTATTGATTCTCCTCTTTAGATCACACTAATATGAGTGTAACATAAGATATCTCTTCCGAATCTTCCTATTCCTGCATCTCTCAGGACTGCATATACATATATTTCCGTGGAACAGATACAATACTTTCTTAGCTCATTCAGCCATGTAACTCCACATAACTCCAAGTAAATTAACTCTTCCAAAGCTCTTATCAAGAGACACGAATCAAACCAACCCCGCTAGCTTGTCTCCAAGGTTGTAGAGATTCCGTGACTAATTTTTGGGGATGTTTGTTCCGAATTATCTTATCAAGAGTCTAGAAATCCAAGATATACATATAATGGATTTGTTACCATGTCCACTCGAAGACCAGAGTTGTGAGAAACTTCCGTTCAGCAACCTGCTGCCATCCAAAATTCGATATGCCGCCATCTCCAACTCGCCACCGGCATCAGACTATTCCCAGTCCGTTGGTGCAAACCGTGGCAAGTCTATGTCGACCACCACCTACTGCCAAACCTTCCTCCTTTTACGATATTCCCCAAACACCTATTTGCCTCCGTGCGGAGCAAATAATTAAGGAAGAAATTCCCGATTGGGCTGCGAACCACTGCTTCCGTACATACGCCTTTGGTCTAGCCATCGCGAATTATGCTGGATTAGATACCGAGCAGGCTAAAGTGCAGTTTGGATTCGACAAAGAGCTCCATTTCCTTACATGTGCTCTTCACGAATGGGGAATGAGCGAGGAAGGAATAAAGCAGAGCAAACTGTCACTAGAGCTGTGGGGTGCCATCAGGGCCCGTGAATGGATTCTTGAACAAAAAGGCAGCATGTCTGAGACCACAACCACCAAGCCACTAGGTGAGTGGGCCGACTTGGCGGCTGAGGCTATCGCACGTCACACAATCGAATTCCGAGGCTTCAGTAAGACTGTCAATCTTCAAACTGCACTTCTTACTCTCGGCTCTGGTCAAGACCTCATGGGACTCTCGTCGGCATTTGTGCATGCCGATGACATCAAGTTTATCTGTGAAAAGTGGCCACGGATTGGATACGTTGATGGACTTCGTGATTTGACCAAAGAAGAGGTGGCGCGGAAGCCGGGTTGTCTTTTTGAAGGATGCTGGGGTGATTTTGACCCCGGTATGTACCATGTGTCGTGCTTCAAGGGGCTGCAGGGATCTTTGACGAAGAACTCCAGTCCCCGATTGTAAGATATTTCGGTTTAGATTTACAAGACGGCTTTAGCCTTCCATTCCCATTTTGACAATTGAAAAACCACATGTACCGATAGCAAAAACCTTCTAATGGCATCTGAAAAGATATGGTGTAAGCCGATTATGGACCAACCCTTCGTCTCCACACTCTCCAAATGTGCCCACCCCTTCCGTCAGTTGGAGACGTTGGAGACTGGAGACGTTGGAGACCAGGGACAATCTTGTTGATTCTTCTATAGACTTATTGGATTTATGATTAGGTAGAAACTCAAAGTTAGCCTTCAATGATAATGAGGTTTCACCCAAAAGCATTATTAATCCTATGGCCATAACGTACGAATTATCTAATTTGAGCTGCTCTATTATGTAATAAACAGCCTTATTAGTTAACTAACTAGTTACCCAAGTACATCAATATTAATTGAAGAGAAGAAGCTGGCACGTGCCATAAGGAATGCTCCTAGTGTAGTTTTTCTTTGAGGTCCTTCTAATGACGTTGCATTTGAAAATAGTGTAGTGGGTGGTGAAGGGCAACCGATTCCGGACAGTCATTTGCCCAGTCAGCTACTACATTACGTTTATATTCTAAAGGAATAGATTGTACTCTATGAAATTGAGCCACTTGCAGGAGTAGTGTGGCCGCTCCTTAAGACAGCGTTGGAAGGGATCTTTCAGCATTGCAATTCTTTATAAATGGATAATGATACTGGATGTTACAAGCGGACTCAAAATGATAACATTATTTCATGTCTCTCTCTGCGTGCACGTTATGACGAGCTATTTTTTGGTTTCTTTCTACTTTTTTCGTTTCTCTTATTGCGAATGCTGCTACAGGGAATCAATGGAATATGATCATGAGGTCATGGTAACTAATGAAATCGTCATGTTCTATCTGGGGGTGTTAAAGAACTTTATATACATTTTAAACTTCATCCACAATATTTTCTTTTCGCATGAATGTTCCCAGGGTAAACAAAGTAACATGGCTTCACTACCAGGCATCATACTTCGTGGAAATATGGTGGGGTGAGGTCACAATTTCATGTTGGCCAAGATATGCGCAAGCGTATGCATTGTTCAGCGGCTTCTACTAGAAGAATACCATCAGTTCCTTTGCAATTCTAAAATGAAACGATGAAAGTCCCAAACAAAGGCTCCACTTACAGTGCGACGGGGTTGCTATTTACAAGCTAGCTCCGCGGGGGTTGTGGGCCTCAACCTCAAGTTCGATCAGCATCTGGGAGAAAGCCAGACGGGGAACAGCAATGGCAGTCCAGACGGGGCGGTGGCCGGGAATACGAGCACGGAGCTTCTCAACTGTATATTCCCAAGAGGCACCGATATCTACATGGTAGGATCGAAGCAGGTAGACATCCTCCCATCCCTTCAGGCCGGCAGCCTGAAGAACACGATCGACATTGTCGAAGGCCAAGTCGATCTGACGCTTCCAGTCATTCGCATCAAGCTCGCCAGTAGGGGTCCAGCCGCCCTGACCGGAGCACTTAACGACGTTGCCAGGAAGAAGGACAGCCTGAGAGTAATGGCCAATATCGCTGTGCTTTTCACCAGCACCTTTCTCGTTGATGTATGTGAAAGAGGACATTTCTTTTCGTGGAAAATGAGATGATGTGAGGTTGAATGGATGGAGGTTTACTGGGTAAGGTATTTGGAGGGGAATAAATAGGAATGCTACCTGGTTATTTAACACTGGTGGCATCATAAATGCTATATAGTAAGCCAGGCTTGGGGATGTCTTGGCAATATGGAGATCGGGAACCCCCAAGTGCTTCTCGTCCCTCTGTGGCGATATTGGTCATTGGAGCTTATCTGAAGTTCCCGACACCCGCGATTTCCATACCCGTCATCATATTTGGGTTTATCAGACGGATAAAATGTTCTCTTGCGACCTCCTTAGAAGCGCTCTTCGTACTAACATTGGAACCAAAGAAACATGATCTAGTCTTGACCCCGATTACCACAACGAAGGCGGGGCAAAGCCACTCCTAGGTAGATACCATGCTTTGGTAGGGTCCTTGCCAGTTTCCGGGAAAGAGGACTACTTCTTTTGGTCATTTAGTAACCTTGTGTAGACATCACTTTGAGCCTTATCGAAAAGTATTTGCCCCACTACCATCTCCAAATCCAGATTGCCCACAGTACATGTCTCCATCTACAGCCACCAATTGTCATTGATCTCTTCCCGCTTCCCCTATTTTGTCATGGGTCAGCTTTGAGGGAAGAAGGGAGGGAAGGGAGGAGGTCTCACCAGCTTGAAGTGGTTGGATCTATAATCAATTATATTTATAATCCAACGGACGTCTCATTGCTGCTCTAGCTCAGACTTACTTGCTTAGGTGCCAATCCGATTTTTTATGGTTTCGAAATCCACGCCCTGCACCTTACTAAACACGATCCTCGCTACTCACGATGCCGGTGGAAGATCTTTTCACGCCATTGACTTTCAAGCGAGGTCCCTCCTTTAAAAGCCGCTCACTCCTTGGAACCCATGACCAACTGGCAAAGCAATGACAAAGATCGTACTACCTCGACATATGACTTATCCTGGATCACTTGCTGCGCAGCTGGGGGTCATGTCATGGTTATGACATGCGCTAGTCATATTCATCCGTATGGAAAGGTCATTCTCGGTCAGTTGGGGGTCTGGAGTGATATGTATAAAATATGCGGCCCTGGCAAGAATCTAGACCATGGTAATTCCACCGGCTGATGTCTAGTCCGAGAAGGTGTAGAGAGGTGTGATTAGAGTTTTGTCATTAATTGTGTACTTCCCTGTTGTTCACTGGGGAATTTAGAGTCCGGCATGGGTATTAGTACAATGAGTGTTTAACACTAAGTGACTATATACTTATTAGATAACAAAATCGAATCCCCAAGTCATGGAAAACCATACACCCGCTATATCTAGCAATCAATCGTCCTATCAATCGTCTTCTCTGCTATTAGGCATATCGGCTGTGACCGTTGATACTCTCCCAGGGAATGCTTGTATAGATAAGATCAAGGAGAAAAAGACCACATAACTACAGGTAGAGTTTCTCAGCCCACCTTCAAGAGCAAAAACGGCTGAAAAATGAACCTGCATCCTACACCATATATATAGGCCTAAACAATACATATATTCCGTGATATCAGCACCAAATCCCTGTGTCCACCAGTTTCTTATGCTATCTTATTCTCTAGACAGTCTGGCTTATGTCGTGTATGGGACCGTCATGTATTACGCTATTGTTTGTTGTATTGTTTTTCTAGAGTATTCCCGGCGTCCAGGATTTCGTTAAAATCTTAGGTCCACCACTAGCCCCTTGGCTGTATGTTAGCTATAGTCTGCATACATGGGTGCCTGCTGGTTTTTGCAGAGGCACTATCCCGTCAATTAAGATACGTTAAGAGCAATACATCCATAAATTCCGCTTCTGAAGAGCGTTTGACTTGAGCAGGATTCCAGTAGCTAGGACTTAAATAGTTCGCTGTACCTGCTGTGGCCAATACTATTGATCCTATTCCCCAATGTCTCTACGATATTCTACACGGCGTCGATCGACTAGATAAGTAAGCTAGAGCCTATTAGTTATGCACGTTGAGTGATTTCTCCTATGAGTGATGTATATAGTTTTTCTCCTCCCCTTTTAATATAAGCCGAAGGTATGGAGCGTGCGAAGAGTTTAAGCAAGTAGAAGGGAGCGGATAATAGGAATTACAGTATTGAGCAAATTTTTTGTGTCATTGTTATCCAACTAAATTTCCTTCAACTAGCTAATTCTGACCTAGTGGAGTGGGATAATAGGGTTCGCCGTAACGGGTGTATTCCGCTTCCATTCAAGCCTCCCTTAGGCTAATGCCGCGGTGGTTAATCCATATGCAATAGAATTAAGTTGCATTTCCTCCTTAGGGTAACGTGAAATAAGGGATAAGACCGCTTCATTGAAATCAGTGAAAAATGGCTGGATTGACAATGCCGCGCTTTCAAAAGACAGGAGGATATGCACCAGAATATGCCCAGTCAACCAACCACACTTGTTCATATTGACCTAAGATCAGGTTTCGAGGACTGATGTCGTTGTGTGTAAGGACAAATTTGGTTCTGAGGGCATTTTGAAATTCGGTGGGCTGGTCAATTTGACTCCTTTGCGGTGTTGGCTCTGCAGGAGAGACGGGAGATTCCACACTCTTCTGTTTGACACCTCGCGATTTCCTAAAAGTTCTACATTTTATTCTCTGTTTTAAACCCAAAAATTAGTAAAATACGTTCAACAAGTAGAAGAAAAACTATACGTTGTACATAGACAAGGCCTTCTCTCTCTCTTTCGTGGTTCAGCTCGTGAATGAGCTCAACCGCTCGTGATTTGAACTTTTTAGAGGGTATATTGTCCTGCCGCCAATCTGCAAGACGAGGAAATATTTCCCTACGGTCCAATGATTCCAGATCAGTGATAGAGATCATGATAGTAACAAGGACAAACAGCGGCTTCGCTAAGGAGTAGATGTTCTTGAGGTGTTGTCGCGCCTTGTTATGTCTATTCTAGGACTGCCGCGATACCGAGGGTTTGACTATATTAGGCAAAATACAATAAGACGATTCTAGTGCTCTCTGGCTATTCGTATCTAGGAATGGGCTACTGTCAAGGATGCCTTTTTGGTGAATAAGAGAGTCGAAGAAATGCTCAGTCAACGACATAGGTCGCTAGCTAGAGAAGCACCGAAGGTTGAATGAAAGTAAGTCAAAGTACAGAAGCAATAGGACAAGTTGGGCGAGAACCTCCTCCTAATGTCTTATCCTAAGCTTTGACCTCCCGCTAACCCTCCTACTCTAATATAGGATGTGACGTGGTTGCAGCTTGCTGCATAAGCGGCACAAATTTATGGTCAGTCGCTCGGCCATCGCACCAACCATAGCTTAGAGAACGATAGGGAAGTGATTCCTGTGATTATTTGCCTTGTAGCATCCATTACTGCCTATTACTACTTACTACCGATCATTATTCTGTGCTATTGAGTATTGTTGACAGGGTCTCTATGTTGTTCCCTCATTTCCGTACAATGCTGCTCACCACTGATTAAAATTGCCTACTTGTGTGAAATCCTGCACTCGACTCACCATTCTTGCCTACTATTATTGTCCACTGTTGGCCACTTCTCTAATTAAGACAATCTTCCATAGTTCTCTCTTTTTCCTTTCTTTCCTTGCTGTTCCCCCCTCACAACCCCCTTCTTACACTTGTACCAAACTATTTTGCCACCCAAACAGTTATCTTCTGTACATCTTTGCCAAAGCTCACGGCTAAAACTACGATTACATGTGTTTTGATTCGCCATGGGCTTCCACTATGCGGATGCTCTCGAGGAACATAACTGGGTCGGCGGAGGACTCGACGCTTATCTCTACCACGTCACCCCAACTATTGTGGTAAAAACCGTTCGTCGCGACCGAACCCCTAAAGAAAAGGCAGCGGAGCATCCTTTCCTCAAAGAGATCGCGTTCTACAAACGTCTTAATGAGTGCCAGGATCGATGCCCGGATATTGTTGACTGTTTTCTCATGTTCCCGGACTATCTTTTTCTATCATATTGCACGTAGAAGGCAATCGCCCCTCGCTTCTATGAACGCCAGGAGCGAGAGAAAGGAAGAAATGGGTTTCACGGGCGTCTTATTAAGGTTAAGGAGTACGAGGATCCTGCTCTCATCGCTCGGTGGATACACCAAATCACCTCTGCTCTTGAGTATGTGGAGAAAATGGGCTTTTGTCACAATGATCTGCATGCAAGCAACTGTCTTCTTGACCGGAACTTCAACTTGAAGCTGGCTGACTTTGGTCGTGCTACCACCATTGGACAGCCGCTTGAAGGTACCTTGCCTCCACGGGCCAAACCAATACTTGCTGGGCCATTGAAAGGTACGTACGGTCTCTGCTCTACCAGAACTGAACAGTTTGCGGTTGGGACACTTCTATACTTCATGGTGTATGGCCATGAACCCTATGACGACATTATCCTCAGCGCCGCGGAATGGGATCGCCGATTTGGGGAAATGGAGTTTCCAGAACAGAGCCGCAATGAAGTTTTTGATGGTCTTATTGCTGCTTGTTGGCACAATGTCTATCCTACAATGGCCTTGCTAGCGTACGACTTCAAGCGCAAGACAAAGGATATGACCGGGAATGCAGAATATATCTTCATTGACTCTGATAAAGACAAAGACCTGTGAAGCATTGGTTCGCAGAGGCTTGCTGGGACCTGAGTTGGCTCTCCGCTTTCAGCCGGCCTGGCGAGGATACCTACAAGCTATTGTGAAGAGAAGCATGTTTATTTGGCAATGCTTTCTACAGAGAAGATTCTGGGCCTGGTCTTGACGAACGGTTGGGGCTTGTACCATTTGACTAGCTGAGATGCTTGGACTCATAGTCTTAACCCGAAACAAGGACATGTTGTCGTACGGTGGCTGTTTCATTCAACTTCGCGATTTTCAAACAAAAGGTGGAATTCACCGCCGCCAAGAGGCCGAATAATTCCGACCCCAAGAGTGAATTGTGGAAGCAACAAGGGCTCAGCCGTAGTTTGCGACCGAAAAGTAAGCGGGCGAAATTGCGGGGGCGCAGCGATGAGTGCAAGATAGAGAGGCAGAATAATGAAAAAGTGAGAGAAATGGAGGAAGAGCAGGGAAGACGGGTCTTTTAAGCCGGAGGGCATTGAAGGGAGGTTATGTGACGGTGTATTGGGGCGCTAAACCCAAAGTGGAAAAACTAATCCCCACATTGAATTTACAGGTTCAATAAAAGAAGCCAGTTAATCGGTATTTCGCGCAAGAAAAGGTGCCAGCACCGGCCAGAGCAGATCGTATGCAGTGTTGAACGCCGCATACCAAAAAATCAAGTCGTTGCCCCATTGAACTCGAAATATCATGCCGGGCTAGGTTTCAGGATAATGTTAAAACGGTTAGATACTAGCTCGGCGAGGAGCCATCGTCCGCTGTAGCCTGCGCTTTTCTTCGGTTTCTTCCGGTATAGGTAGTGAGCCCTCGCTCTTCAAACGATCGAGGAACTCCTTTCCATATGCGTAGCCGACTTTGTAGATCTCGTCGAATTTGCCGAAATCCAGGGTGCCGTATGGGTCGATAGGAGGACGCATGTATAGACAGCCAGGCATATTCTTTGCGCGCTCGAGATTGTCAAACGATGAGACATAGGCCAGTCGTGCTTGTATTTCGGAAAGTGTAGGTGGGTTCGGGAGTGAGGAGAAGGGGTTCCAGCGGTTGAACACTGACCAGAATCCTGACAATGAGTCTCCAAATCCCTGGGGCGTGGTATCGTCGATAGACCCAACATCAATCGCGAAGATGACATCCGCTCCAAGACTTTTCATGTGTGCTACGGTGAGGTTGTCGATATAGCCACCGTCCAGGAGCATACTTCCTTCGTCACAGATAGGAGGCATCAGGCCAGCCAACGACATCGAGGCGCGAACGTACCGCCAGACATAACCAGACGAGTGATACTCAATTCGGGATCGGCTGATGTTAGTTGTGTTGCAGTAGAACTCCAACCAGAAATCTTCGATCTGGCTGTCTCCAAAGGTCTTGAATATCCCACGGTTGAACTCATGACCCGTGGTGTAGGAAACGGTGGGGTAGGTCAGGTCCAATGCGAACCGCCACATACTGCCCATGCGTCCGGAGAACTTCTTGGCTCGCCCGTACATGGGCACAACATCAGCGTCACGCGCGTACAGAGCTCCAATGAAAGAACCGATCGATGTGCCACCAATGATATCAATTGGGATTCCGGCCTCCTCGAGCGCTTTAATAACGCCAACTTGCGAAATGCCACGCGCTCCACCTCCGCCTAGTACAAGACCAACAGACTTGCCGCACAAACGCCGAGCCAGCCGATGGAAATCACCCTTGAAAGGGGTTTGCGGGGAGTAGAGTGGGGTTTGTTGTGCACGCCGGGACGTGTACTTTTGGATCTCAGCTTGCAAAATTTGCACGCGCTGCTTCAGCACAGTACCAAACTTCTTGCTCGGCGGGTGTGAAGGCTCGGTGGTCGAGCGGAAGGCCATTTGAATGTGATGGTGCCCACCGTTGATCCACACCCTGTTCTTGAGCCATTCCCGAGTGAGTCCAGGTGAACAATATCGTTCCGCGTGCAAAAGAACCAGTTCTTTGCGAGCAGTGGTCTTCATGCCTAGCAGGAACCGTTCATATTCACCAATTCTGGGCGAAGACTCTGCAAGACCCACCAACAGGATAGAGTCAGCTTGTGCGATGCAAGTTTGAGTCCATGGCGCGTTCACGTTGGTATCAGCGATGTACAAGACCATTCCAAATTTCTCCTCAAGGTCAGCCAGGTATTGGGAAAGCTTAAGCTTCCCCATCTTACTGAATGCGTGGCGACCTAAGTGGTTCAAAATCGTCGCTTGGTTGAGTGATGTGACACCTCTAGTCACACCAATTTGATGCAACGCCTGCAAAAGTCTATGCCCGAATTCCACAACAGGGACACCAGCCATGACCGGAAGAATTGCCACAGTGCGGAGATTGACTGTTGAGGTTGCAGTCTGAACGCCGCCAGCATGTCCTTGTTCAATCCCCTTTTCAGACAGTGGATGCTCGACTAAATCACGCATTCGCTGGGCAATAAGTTTAGAGACTTGGATAGTAATTCCAGGATGTTCCTGAGCGAGACTGTTGAAAAGAGACCGGGGGAACTTGGCTAGTTCCGTTTCACGGATAGCATGCAAAGTAGACGGTCTTGTAGATTCAGTCATGACCTCGAGTTCACCAACACTCTCACCCTGGCCGTGTTCGCCAATGACAGTTATCTTGCCATTTTGTCCCTCAAGGACAGACCTGAGACGACCGTTCAGAACAAGATAAATAGCATCGCTTTCATCTCCTTGGTGATAAATCACCTGTCCTGCGCTGACCTGCACCCACTCTAGCGCGAAATCAATGTGGAGCAGCAAACGCGGCAGCAGTCTTGTCAACCGCTTTGCCAGTGTTAATAATGCAGCTGGGTGCCTATCTGCGATTCTCTCAAGGGAAGCACGAGGAAGGAATCCAACGTAAACATCCGTCTTGGCCACAACATCGGTGTACGAGCGGTACGACGCAAGAGCACCTACATATCCTTGAATGCCACCAGGTTTGATCAGGTATAGCGATTTCCGGGGCTGGTTCTTCCGTCGAGGGTCATTGCCGCCTGCTGCACTAGGCGCGCGTGACGATGCTGTCGTTGTTCGTCTCAGCTTCGGGAACAGCTCCTCTTGCGCTTGCGAGGCAGATCCATGAGAGGAGCCAATAAGGGTGTCATCGCGTTCATTCGCCGGAATACCCACGTCCAAGAATCCATCAATGACATAGTAGAGACCTGGATGGCGCTCACCCTGTTCTACAAGAACTGAGCCTTGCGGAAAGTAGACTATTTCGATGTCATGGCGTAGGTCTTCCCGTAGGTTGACGACAGGCGATGTCCCCCCTGCGCTCGTCACTGACATGGAGGACATCATGGATTCAGATTCGCCGTCACCAGGTCCTTCATAGGGATCCATGAAGCCAAAGGCATTGGAGAACACTGCCTTCTGGCGGCGGTTATCGTAGGAGAGAAGTCTCGGCGACGCCTCGCCAGAGTGGCTGCTCTTACGTAGATTATCGCGTGTGCCTTCGGTAAGCCCAATGCCCTTCATAATACAGTCCAAGATCGACTCGCGGAAAATAGCGTCCTCGTCAACTGACTCAGTTCGCTGGAAGGTTGAGGGCAGGACATTCATTGCGGCAGTAGATACAAATTGAGGTTGTTCCCGCTCAGTAAGAGGAGTTTGGAGGCGAGGTGCCAAATGCTCATGCCGCGGTCCAAACCGGGACAATTGTATTGTCGATAGCAGATCACCGGGGCTGACACCTGCCGAGTCCCTGTCAACGAATACCGGTGGTGGCCTTCGTGGGCTTGAGGGTGTGAGAGGGCGCTCACTGGCCACCTTTGCTTGTAAAAAGGCTTCTTTTCTGAGAGTACTGCTCGAGCGTCCTCTGCGGCTGACAGACGGGTTGTGAAGAGCAATGCCTTTTCCAACTTCCTCCGGTCCCAATCGCTCTCGTTCTCTCGTGAATTTGTCCTTCAGCCGATCCAAGGCACTTCCTCGAAGATTATTCGGAAGGTCCCAAGAGGTGAATTTAGACATTTGCCGTTCTATGCCTAAAACCTCGCTAGTCAGGCCCAGATAAGAATGCGCAGTGGCAAACGTGACCCGCTGGAGACGTGTCAAGATAACCTGGACAATGTGCGACGTTGCCCGTGGGTAGACTCTGGTCAAACGACGGAATGCGCTCGCGGGGATGATAGCAATCGTCGTGTCGACTGTAGCCCGGGCTACAATATCCGGGTGTACCGACTTGCGGCGTTTTTTCTGGGAATTTTGTTTAGTCTCCGAGTGCGAGGTCTGGTCGGGGTCCTGTCGAGGCATGGTATGGCTCTCTCCGAGGTTCAGCGGAGGCACTGGTGGCAATGTGTCGCTAGATCCACGCGCTACAGTGTGTAAGTTCGCGGCGTCTCTCACCGTGGACCCGGGGCTGACAGCGAAGGTATCAGGCACATGAGCCTGGCCAAGACTAGGACTGGATATACTGGAGCTATGACTTCGGGAGTTACGAAGCTCAATATCTTCAGTAAACAGCTGGAGGATAGAGAACAAAGACGACATCGAAGCGCCGTTCTTGACCTCGGTGAGGAGCTGATAGCCCTGTTTGCCGTGAATGTTGCGGTCATCCTCGTCTGAGGAGGCATCGTCCATGTGGAGATTCTCTTGGGAGCTTGACTTCCCTTCGCGTGCCGATTTCACGAAGATCTGGACCAGCCCATCCACAACCATGCAGAAGCCCTTCTCCTCCTCCAGCATGAGCGTCTCTCCCGCAATCAGCTTCCTGGTCTGCATCGTTCGCGTCAACTCGTGGAAAACGGGCCGTTCGAGGTAACCAAAGACTTTGATAGCACTGAGGAATTCATCGAGATAGTTGGCAAGCCCTGGTTTTGAATCCCCTTCCTGGATATCGGGGAACAAATCGACCTGGGCTTCTTTGCGTTGAGGCTCTGGGGGTAGGCGACTGTACATATTCAGGTACCGGTAACGGATGAACCAGCTAACGGTCGATACCAGGACAAGGACGATTAACATTCTAAGGGTCATGGGTAATCAGCAAGAGTCAAAAATTCAGGT